TTCGGAAGCTCCCCTTTTTAAGGGGTCATTTTGCTTCTGGGCCTCGTCTTTCAAGTGATTTTGAGATTTCTTATGGATTTTATCAAGTGCGGCTGTTTCCTCTTCCAAGGTAATATATCTGGATGCTTTTTGAAGAGCATCGTCGATAGTTGGGGGAGGATTGGGCGTTAGCTCCGACCAGAATTCTGATTTGTACTAGAGACCTCTTCTAAAGGCCTCGATAGCAACTTGGTCGTTGGGATTTGAGAGTTTAGTTCTTACTGCTCTAAATTTCTCGATGTAGACCCGTAACGAGTCTCCCATTCCTTGTCTGATTTTCCAGAGGTCAGCCTCGGAAGCTTGCTTGAGGATATGGGTCGAATACTGCTTCATAAAGGCATTGGTCAGCTGGTCAAAATTGTCTATTGAGTTCGGCTCGAGGCCGGAAAATCATTCGAGAGTTGTTCCGACCAGGTTTTCGGCGAATGTTCTGCAGTAACCTGCGTCCCATTCCTTTCTCGTAAAATGAGCATTCACGATAGCTAATCGGAAGACTCTCAAATGAGCCTTAGGATCTGAGGTCCCATCATACTCGGGAATCCTAATTTTTTGGGTATCTCTTATGTAAGAGCTAGCGGTTCTGTCCGTGAATGGGGTTCCACGAGTTTCCTCAATCAAACTCTCAATTTCGGGAGCTGAGCTCGTCGCTTTGTGAGCTTGAGCATTCAACTTTTGGAGAGCTGCATGAGTTTTCTCCATATATCTGCGAATAACCTTAGGTCCCTCTAGAGGAAGGACAATTGGGTCATTATTAGGTACCTGACAGACAGGTTCCTGACGGAGTCGAGTTTGGTCATTCTTCCAGGCAGGCGCCTGGCTAAATTGCTCACTAGCTCCTGGGTTATTTTGATGAGTGTCACCAGTGGGGTGAGCTGCGAGGTCAGCTCCCGCTAATTAATGAGCGCCCAGATTCAGGGTTACATTCCCAGTCCGATAAGCCGAAGCCGGTGTTCTGCCCCCAGAAGGAAAGGATATTCCTTCTCCTGACCTGAAAACAGGTGGAGGAGGTGGCAATCGTGTGCTCTGGTCAGTAACCCGATCGAGCATAGAGCTGGTTATCGCGACGTTACTTCCCATAGCGCTAGTTACAGGTGGCTTAAATGCGGGAGCTGTTCCAGCATAGGGTGTCTGGAGAACATGTCTCTGCCTATCTGGAGAACAAGTCCATGTCGCTACGTTACTTCCCATAGCGCTGGTTACAGGTGGCTTAAATGCGGGAGCTGTTCCAGCATAGGGTGTCTGGAGAACAGGTCCCTGCCTATCTGGAGAACAGGTCCCTGTCGCTACGTTACTTCCCATAGCGCTGGTTACAGGTGGCTTAAATGCGGGAGCTGTTCCAGCATAGGGTGTCTGGAGAACAGGTCCCTGCCTATCTGGAGAACAGGTCCATGTCGCTACGTTACTTCCCATAGTGCTAGTTACAGGTGGCTTAAATGCGGGAGCTATTCCAGCATAGGGTGTCTGGAGAACAGGTCCCTGCCTATCTGGAGAAGTGTTCTTCGAATCGTTGCTGCTGAGCAGTTAGCTGTTGCAACGTGCGCTCATTCTCTTGAGCTCTGTCTACTAACTGCACCATCATTGACGGATCTCAGATAGCTGAGCCTCCGATTGATTTGGAGCGGGTTGACGCTGAGGGTTCTCGGGGGCTGTTACCCCGGAGCTGTTTCCACTGGAGGACCTTGGGTTAGTTATTCCAGTGGTGGTCTGGTTCGGTTGAGCACTAGCCGGAGGCTGTTGCTCAGATCGGTGATCGGCGTGTCGAGGCTCCGGGACCTAGAGACTGGAGTCTCTTCCATTTGATGAGCCGTCGATCTGGATCACGGGGTCGGGGATAGATGCTTTCGTTGCTTGGTTGGATGGATCCATTCTCAAGTTACAGAGTAAGGGATTCGATTATCTCGTCCCCACAGACGGCGCCAAAATGTGAGGGGTAAAACTCACTTCCTGATTTTAGGTTAGGTTTAGATTGGAGAAAGACAATCGTGGGCTGAATCCCGTTAGAACTTGTATGAATGAATACGTTTGTTTATATTGATTTTGATAAGAAAATGAGTTTACAAAGATGGACTTGATGATCAGAAGTACAATGATGAATTGAGATGATTACAATGAAGAAAAAGTGTTTAAATCTTTAGGTCTAAAAATGATTCCAGAGAGGATCCTTTTCTCCGATCTCCTCCTCCCTTAAATAGCTTTCAGCCACGTTTGAACGACCCTAACTAGCCTCCGAGATTTGCTCCGTGAGTTGAGGGATTCTCAACAGCCTCCTTTTGACCGGGTCCTGCGCAACCAGCCTGAGCTACTCCTGTTAGCTCTTTCTAAATGAGGTCCGGAGCTCTCCTCCGTGACCTGTTTTGTTGACGTCCCTTCCTTAGCAAACAGCCTCCGGCTTCTTTTTAACTCTTTTCTCAAAAGATTAATTGCCAATGGGCTTACAGTGGCCCATAGTAAACTCTTATCGCTCGAGCCCATTAGTCTCAGCTAGCGGGCCATATTTGGGCCCAACACTAACCAACTCTTACAATTTTAGTTCTTTTGTAAAATTTATATATATCCATGAGACTTTAGAATATTTTCGTTATATTAATTTACGTATTTTGGAATCAGACACTTTAGTTAATTTTTAATACATTATAAGCACAATATATCTTAAGTTATACATAATTTTCCTAAAATATATTTACATATCTAAGACAACACCCACCATATGCAAATAAGTAACTAACTAAAAATTAATATATTTTTTAAATATTACAGTTCAATTCAGAGATGCAATCCAATTTATCCAAATGATAATTAAACCAACCGTAAAATAACAAAATTGACTAGATATAACATATATAAAATTACAGTGTAAGTAAAGTAATATAATACTATTCATATAAATGATGCATAAAATTATAAATTAATTTAAAATTAAAAGTAAATAATAATTAATTATTATTATATATTTAATTTAAAAGTATTTATACCCGTGTATGAGCACGGGAAAATCACCTAGTAAGTAAAATGTATGTAGATCCGACACTTTATGGATGTAATATAATAGTGTCCTGCATTTTCAAACTATTATATTACTCGTGCTAGTATTTTATCAACTTAATCAACATCAACGTCAGAAGTAGCACGCATGAATATAAATTATTAATGCACATATAGTATATGAATATACATATCATCTTGTAAGTAGCAATAAATAATATGATGAAATTTCGCCAAGTTGTAAGAACAATTGTTCCCTTTGTGACCATCAGAGACCAGAAACCTGGACTAACATTGTTTCTTCTCCCACATGCAACAAACTCGATTTGAGTAAAGAAGACTATTCAAAACTCCAACATAATGGCAGAAGTTTACAAAAGAGAAAGAGGAACAAATGCTATTGTGTGAGACTTTAATATTTTATTTATTTGCCACGGAAATAAACAGACAATATTCACAATTACATTAAAAGATCTAGAATTTTCAAAGGGAATTGTATATAGTCGTTAGAAACAATTATGGGGTTCTAACGTAATCCAAGATCGCCATAAGCAATTTATCATTTAATTTTGTATGTTTTATGAAACGTAGTACAAAATCTTATAAAATACTATGATTTCTTATATGATGCATAAACTACACAAGTAACCCTTTCTAGACTTTTATTTTATCGGTTGTCTTATATATATTTTACGAATTTTATAAGTTGTCAGTTAATACATTATTTAGAATTGGATTTTACTATTAAAATTTTGAATTTAGCAAAATGAATTTTTAAGCTTAAGATTTTATTTAGTTTTGCACGAGTTTGTGTAAAGTTGAAGTTTGTTTTAAAGTTTATTTTATATTTGGTACTTGAACAATTTTTTTAAAATAAACCTATAGTCAAACACTAAAACAATTTTTAGTAATAGTTTAGAATATATTGACTATGGCATCTTTCAACTAACAAATCCAAGATCATATATAAAGCTATATTTGATGAGAATGTTAGCATTATGGCAAACGCTTTGATCTCACTAAAAAAATAACAATTTCTTAAAATTCTTTAGTTTACGGAATAATTAACCAGAAATTTCCATACATTTTAGAAAATTTACACCTTCTATACACACAAAACTCTAAAATTAGGAAATATCATATTTCTCTCTGTTTCTCTCTTTCCCACTTACCACTTTTTTCTACCAATGTTAAGGTATCTCTCTTTTATGGTATTGAACCAATTCATCCTACATTTTATTGGGTGACAAAGATAATGACAAGACCTTCAATGATTTGGTAAGCAGAACAGAAAATTTTAGATGGCAAAAACCGAGTATCGGTTCATTGCTGGATATGTCAGGGGGCCAATCCGACAATCGCTCAAATATGCCAACAGGTGGGCTAAAAATTTGTTGACCGACCTGCTAGGGCATCCTGCACGGTGCTACATCAAAACTTTGTCGTCTTTCTGGGCTTATATTATGGCTCAGGTAGGAGATATCTTGGCCCCGTAGTACTGTAGAAGTAAATGTATATACTGTGTAGTAGCATGTACTCCAAGTACAGTGACACTGACACTCACGCGAACAACAAACATAACACTGTCACTGTGTAATGTTTGTGTGTCTTGACCATTATTTTATCCTATATTACGTCTTCTTTTGTCATAATTTATATTTAATTCCCTAATCAAACTGGTTAGTCCACGGTAAACAACATACATATCAATAGTTGTGGGAAATTTTCACTGGCGGAAAATCTAGATAGGGAAGCTACCAAATCATACGAGTGTAATATGGTGGTTGCACAATCGTAATCGTATGATTTGTTATCAATAATAACATTCAATAATATAAGCGAAAATAATATTTGTTTATACATTCATTTTATTACAAAGTGTCTCTTTATACTCCTGCAAATCCATTGAATCTGACATCTTGGTAAGCAAAATCAGTTTTAAGTTTAAGCAAAGATCACATCATAGCCTGGGCCTCTGGCAAAAGGGTAAATTCAACATAAACAGAAAAATAACTATAGGAACCAAACGTACAACCTTTACTTAACGAGGACGAATCTTGTTTGGAGTGCAACACAAGCACATATCATTACATATCTCTATACGTAAAACCAAGACAAGAATTATTACTGAGAAACAATACTATGTAGTTGATAATAATTAAACCCGAAAAAAATCACAAAAGAAAGAATCTATGATTATATATAAAAAAGCAGAGACAAGTTTTCTTTTGCTTATTGATACGTATTTCTTTTTTAAAAAGCTCTAAGCAGTAGGAGATCCCTTGAGCTTCTTGGTGATAGCTGCAATGTACTTGCCTTGGTGAAACGCTTGCTGTAACTCCAACTCTGTTGGTTGCCTCGAACCGTCTCCTGCAAATGTTCCAGCTCCATAAGGACTACCTCCTTTCACATTCTCCATCTCGAACATTCCCGCACCAAAGGTGTAACCGATTGGGACAAACACCATCCCGTGGTGAACCAGCTGAGTTATCGCCGTCAATCTACAAGATCACCACAAAAAACGTGTTGTAAGATATAAGCAAGAGATGATGAAGTGACGTGGTTTGTTAACTTACGCGGTGGTTTCTTGGCCACCACCTTGAGAGCCAGTACTGTAGAAGATACCAGCTGGTTTACCAGCGAGTGACTGAGTCCTCCAGAGTCCACCGGTTGCGTCGAAGAAGGCCTTGAACTGAGCAGCCATCATACCGAATCTTGTTGGGAATCCAAAGACAAACCCATCAGCTTCAGTTAGCTCGTTGGGTGTGATGATTGGTGATTCACTCTTTGGTGGTGCGCTCATCTTAGATAGTACGTCTTCTGGGAGTGTCTCTGGTACCTGTGAAAACAACAAATTCATCAAGTTCAATGATGGATTTGTAAATCTATAAGCCTAATAGCATCTTGTGATTTGGACTCAAACTGCAACAAACGTCATTGTGAAGGAAGATACAGAAACTAGATTTAAACTCAAATCCTAGTATTACAGGACATAGTATCCACTTATATTCATAAATATAGATTATCACTAAAACATAGTCACTTGAAACATAAAGTCTTATCCTTTCTCCCAGACACAGAAACTACTTTTAGACTCTAGTCTTATAGGTCAACTATTGTTTCTCACTAAAACACAAAGTCAACTAAAAACTGACAATGCAAAGTCATTATGTACTAAAGTAGCTCAGAAAAGTAGAAAGTAGGAATCAGTTCTAACCTGCCATAGTTTGGCTTCAACACCTTCAACAGAAGCAGCTCCTTTCCTTATCTCTTCAGCTAATTTCTCCACATGACCATACATTGAGTAGTACCTGTAAACAAACTCTCAACTTCAGATCAAACCCCAACAACAAGAAATTAGCCCTAAGTATTAGAGATCTAATTCGAATTGAAAGACCAATTAAGCAACAAAATGACGAATTTCTTCAATTCAAATCTTGAATCAGACTATCAACACAAGATTCTGACCCAAATTACATAAATTTCGAAACCCTAGAGGACGAATCGACAATAAAGAAGCAAAATCAAGTTAAAATTAAAACTATCATTTGTCAAAAAACTATAGATAAATATTCTTCGATCAAAATTGAAAAAAAAAAAAAAAAATCAAATCAGACAGAGAAGCATGAAGAGATTAAGATTAGTTCGATAAGGAAAATTATTACATACACGATATACACTTTGGTCGCCATCGAAATAGTGTCTTTTGGAGAATCTCTGGAGCTTTCTTTCTGAATGTTTTGATTATCTGTTGATCAATCAGTAGATACAGAAAGAGCGTATTTATAGTGGTCGAAGATGATACTCTTCAACACCCTCTATATCTGGTCAAATTAAATCTCACCCCCCCATACTTTTTTTCTTTGCTATTTAAACCCCATTACTGATTTCAAGCCAATCAATAGACTGTTACGTCTTTTTGTCAAATAGTATCAACTTTTGGTCATATGATGCTTTTTTCTGTAAAAACTACTTTGAGAAACAATATTAAGGTCATGTTCGTTTGCACGAACAAATCCAAAATGAGTTTTTGGTATGTCGCAGATAACTATTTTCTTATAACTCAAAGTTTAGGTGATTAAACTTTAATATTAGTTATTAATGGAAAAGATAAATAAAGGTGGGGCACATATTACACTCTTTGTGTCATGGTATATATGTTTGCATGCGGATCTACCTTGTGATATGTGATTTATGTTTAATCACACGTTATAACTTGTTATTCATATGATTTTTAACGACTATTCATAAGCTATATTTTATATCATACGATATTGCAGTAGATAAACCAACAACACAGTTATAGAAATGCAAACAATTAATGGGATTAAATTTGCATAGTTTTAGAATTTTACATAAATCACTTGGCACTACTTATGAACTAGAACCTAGGTAATCGATGACCATGACAAAGCTTGGGTGTTTGTGTTTGAAAGATCAAACTATTAAAATTTGGAAACAAAAGAATTACAATGTTATTATATTCTTTTATTATGCTAATAGAATATAATTTATAGCCAACAATTTAAAGAAACAAAACTAGTGGGGCAAATTTGACTTTGACGGATACAATAGGGGTGTATACGCATTACGTGGTCAATTCAAACGGCGTCGTTCGTCATCTGGCTTGGCATTGGACGGCGAAAAGGAAAGGTGGGGTTGGTGCGGGTAAATTAAAACTTTTTGTTTTATTTCATATTAAATGATTGAAATAACATAATAATGATGATATGTTGCTGTCACGCTCATCATCAATGTTAGTTCTCCCTCAAAACTGTGTTTAATTTAATTATTTGGCACTAAAAAGAGCTTTCTGCAGATTGCTTGCTCGTTTTCTCTAGATGTCTATTCAAGCAAGAATCATTGATATAAATGTGATTAAATTACGGAACAATCTTAAAGAAAATGGTACCTTGAGTCTTGATTGCACATTAATAGTTTGCAAAATCAAATCTAATAAGTGTCGTCCATGAATGTTTGAGTTAAACATTATATCACCAAAGAACGTACAAATATACATATATAAACATATTATTATATTTTCGACAAAAATCATATAGTTATTTTAAAATCATTGGTAATATAATTTTAATAAGATGCATTTGATTTATCTTATTACAAATGTGTTTATATATTGATCAAATATAACTACAACCACTCACATAATTCATATAACACACTATTTATTAACCAAGAGTGTTCGATAGACTAGAACTTAACCGACTAATTTTTTGGAGGTCTATCCACCGGTGACAGACAAACCTAATTACTTTACGTGGATGTTAAAGTATCTCAAATGACATTCTATTTTTTCTCTATAATTTTATTTATAATAGAATAACTTTATTACAAAATTATTTTTACTAAAATGATATTACTCTATAATAGAATTATTTTATTATAGTAGAATATAAAGGAATGTCATATTTTTATTCTATATTTATAAAATGGTATTATTGGAACAAAAATTGCTATATAATATAATTATTCTATTTTAGAAGAAATGATAAAATAAAAAATATTGTCACATTGGAGATGGTCTTAAAAAGTTATTCACCGGTCACATAAAGAATTAACAATTTTACACTGGAAATAAATCAGTCCCTGCTCTAGAAGAGCAGATCCATTCAGTGGAAACCACCAGCACAATCCGTTACCATACAACACACTGACATAGTTATATTTGGGATAAACATAGATAATTCTATATGTGATATACTCACAACGGTAACTATTTTGAGAAATTTATATTTATAATCTACAAATTTTATTAATCATTAATATTTTAACTAGTAGACCAACAAACTTCCACTGCTTAAATTATTTTAAGAAGTATAAATGTATTTTAAATAAGCTACTTTATATTTGTTTATTGTTCAATCATTTTGTTTCCATACTAATCAATCAGTCCTCTTCTTGTTTACACCAAATGCATGACCATCACAACTTTTTAGAATCTATCAGTGAGATATTTCATATTTGTAGAGAAGGATTGAAATTGAGATAAGATAACAAGTCAACGAATATGATCCGATCCCCATGAAGACAACCAAGTATGAATTGACCGAGGGTAGGGTCAACAAATCTTGCCCGTCCAACTTTTGATCGACGAAAAACAATCTAGACGTTGGATCTCTTTGTCCATGGTTCTTAATCCCGTCTAGATTCGACTTCAAACCCTTGCTTCATCACTCTCGTCACTATAATTCTTTGTTTAAAAAAGTTTCATAAAAGTATGACTACTTACAGGATCGGTCCTAGACCAAGCGTTTAGTCGTGGCTATCTATCTATTTCTCATACAATTTTTTGTCGATTTTTTCATTGGTTTAATGGTTTAACGCGTGTAGTAGGAAAATATATGCAAAGATTCATCTGGTCGCAGAACCAATGCCCAAGTATGAAACAGAAGGCGAACACTAGAGCTGGTTGTAGAAAAAAAACAAAACAGAGTTAACAAATCTACAAATAAATTTAATAATTTTTCTTAAAAAAAAGAAAATTGACGCTAGAGACTTATAATAATTTTAGTATCTCAAAAAAAAAAAAATTTAGTATCTATCTGCAACAAAAGAAATATTATGAAAAAAAGTTTATAAAAAAAATCATAGTATCTCTTCCAAACTATCCATCATCTGGCCAATATTTGTCAAGTTCCCTTGGTCATCCACAGCTCCCAGATGAAACAAATCCTCCAAGCCCCGAATGAGGATATTAATGGAAGGAGAATCTATATATTCAAATGATGTCACGTCGTTCACCCCCAGCTTTTTCAAAGTCAAAACTGTGTTAACAAGGTTTGATCTAACTATCTCAGGAATCTCCTGATCCATGAAGTCATTAAAAGTCTCCTCAGTGTAGAGCCTGAAACATTTTCCATTGGCACGTCTTGCTCTCTGGTCAGCACTTGTGCGAGATATTGGGGACACTGACCAGAACTCGACAGCAGTTCGAAAGTTGCAGAATTTTTGCCTTGAAAAACCAGGATCAACCACATAAACAATCCCTTCAATGGACAAAGATGTCTCTGCCACGTTGGTGGACACGATGATTTTCCTCACTGGTGTAGGATCGAAGATCTTGTGTAGTAGGGCTGATGGAAGAGAGGAATACAAGGGCACAACGGTGACTTGATCTCCAAGACTACGGACAATTCTGCTGCAAGCTTGTTCAATCTCTTCTTCCCCGTTCAAGAAAACAAGAACATCACCCGGTGGCTCAAAGGTGTGAATCTCGATAACTTTGCTTATAGCAGCCTCGAGATAGTCCAACGCTAGTTCTCGAGTGTACAAGATCTCCCCTGGATGGCGGAGCCTACTAGAAGGGACTTTGATGAGAGGCGCACCTCTAAAACACTCTTTTAATGAGAGGTAAGCCTCTAGGGTTGCACTCATCACAACAAGCTTAAGATCAGGTCGGCTAATCAACGTGCGTTCAAGAGTACCAACAAGTAAATCCGTGGCTAGACATCTATCATGGACTTCGTCTAAGATAATCACTTTGTATCTCAATAATAGCGGATCTGCTATGGCTTCCCGGAGAAGCATTCCATTAGTCAGGTACTTGATCACTGTTCGGGGGCTACTACGATCCTCAAAACGGACTGTGTAACCGACTTCTTCCCCGATCTCTACATCCATCTCTTTAGCGACACGACATGCAGCGGTCATGGCTGCAACTGGATGTGGCTGCGTGCACCCAACCAACCGATTATCAGAGTTAGGGTTTTCATCCATTACTGCTTCTAAAACAAACTGTGGGATCTGCGTTGTTTTACCACTACCGGTCTCACCCGTCAGCATCACCACCTGATTCTCCTTGAAAGTTAGGAGAAACTCTTCTTTTTGCGCCAATACTGGTAGAGTCATATCCACGACTTTCTTCAGCAAACAAACAAACCAAACAAAAAAACCCTCACGACACCAGCAGCTTCTCGTCTTGTATGCTTTTTAGTTGTTTGCTTCCGTTACTTTAGATTGAATGAAGTCGTAACCAGTTGCTGTATTTATAGTCACCAATCCCTATTTTCTTTTTCACAGTGTATTTTGGAAAAGCAAATTTTTAGAAAAATAATTTAGAAAATTTCCATTCTACAAAACTTTAGTTTCCTTTTCTCTTCAGTGGATCTCAAGTTTAGTTTACGCCGTGTGCCCTATATTTCTTAGTAGTTTTATCCTTTTCAGTTTTTTTTTTTGATGAATGGAAAATCCTTTTCAGTTGTGATAATAGATTGATACTGTGTAATGTTGGTCGAAACCTTTATAATCGTGTGTAGAAATTTGGTAAATACAAGTTGATGTTTGAGAAAGAAAAAAAAATAGAAGAGCCGTGTGGCTTGTAAAATACTAAAAGCTTCTAGGCAAAACATGAATGAGAGATTAGGAAGCATTATACTCTATGGTGGTACAATGTGAATGTGCTCTTCCTTAACTGTGAACCACTGCATATCTTCCTTAGAGAAACCCAAGCATTCACGAGTTTAATTTTGAAGGATTGATGTAGCTCTTGTGACGTAGCATACGTTCAACCTCCAAGAACAACATGTCCTTTCTTTTCAACAGAGAATAGAGAAAGTAATTCAGATTCATCAATAAGTTTGTGTTAACATGATATACGGATTTAGAAAGACAAGAAAGAACGTATTACTACCTATTGTGTATCTTCTCACTACAAGAAAACCTGCGATTACCGACTACGTTTTGCGACTACAGTTGCAGTCGCAAAATTTTGCGACTGATTACCAACTCTTTTGCGACTGATTACCGACTAACTTAAATTCATCGCAAATCAGTCGCAAATTTGCGGCCAAGTCTATTAGTCGCAAAACAGTTGTAGAATTACGACTAGTATGCGACTAAAT